GTTCCCAAAGGACAGTACCCCTTGCTCTCCGTGGCGACACACCCTGTTTTTGGTGGAGGGGAGCATATCTGAACCGCCAAGCCCTTCGGTCAACGATGAGAAGGTGTCCATGATCCCACTCTGCCCCCCGCCACCAGCAGCCCCTGCCGGCCCCCACCTCCTCGTGGTTCTTCTTCAGGAAGGCCAGCTCCTCGTTCAGGCTCTCGATCTGCATCTCCAGGTCGGTCTTGGTCAGGGTCAGCTCATCCAGCACCCTGCGCAGGCCGTTGGTGTCGGCCTCCACGCTCTGGCGCAGGGCCAGCTCGTTCTCATACCTGGGAACACAGAGGGAGCCCAGAGTAAGGAAGTGGGCTGTGGGCTGTTGGAGTAGGGGTGCGGGCTGTTGGAGCTGGAAGAGGGAGAGAAGGCCAAGAAAGGGGGTGAATCTGGAGGGGAGAGAGAGGCAGGAGCGTACTTGAGTCTGAAGTCATCTGCCGCCAGCCTGGCATTGTCGATCTCCAGGATGACCCGGGAGTTGTCGATCTTGGCCCCCAGGATCTGCAGGAGGCAGGGAGTTGGTATCTGGAGTACTGTTTTCTCTTCCCTACTGCTCTCCCCGCCCTGCACCCCAGGTCAGACGCCTTACTGACAGTCTCCCTTCTGACACGAGCAACAGAGGCCTGTAGCCTCCCCGGGGCAGAGTTCAGCCTCACCTCGAGTGCCCATACTTGGTGTGAGCCCACACCACCCTTCCTGCCTCCAGGGCATGAAAAACCAAGGAGCCAGGAGTGCCTGGACTCCCCTGTGGGAAGTGCCTGGCCAGGAGTTGGGTGCGGTGGGGTTCAGCAGCCTTCTCGGGAATATTCTGCCAGCCTCCCCTGGTCACTGGCCTCCTGCACACTTGACACAGCCATGGACCCACAGAACATTCCACAGCCAGTAGGACCCTGGAGGGCAGGGCAGGAAGGCACGCTACAGCTGAGGAAACCAGTCCAGGTAAGTAGAGAGGGTGAGTAAGTAACTGGCAGAACACATAAGGAGTTCCAGGTCTCCTAAGTCCCAATAGAGCTTTTTCGCACCAAAGACCTCCTCAAAGGGTGAGGGAGGTGGTCCTGGCATTCAAGGCTCCTGAAGCTACCCTTAACTGTTCCTGCAAAAGAAGCAAAAGGGAGCTTTATGCAGACCCCTGCTTGGTGTGTGTAACTGCCCCCACCTCGGACCCTCCCCCGACCAGAGTTCCTGAGCATTATTCTCACTGCCAAGTTGAGCGGATGTATGCTGGCCTCCGCACCTGGAAAGCATTCCCTGCTCTCCAAGTTATACACCGACAGTCGTTGCCTGGGCAGGAAAAGGATTTCCTTGAGGCAGCAAGAAAGATGATGGAGATGTATGCAGGGCGCCAGCCACCTGCTCCCCTCTCTCTAATGCTGGAGGACTCACCTTGTCCCGCAGGTCCTCGATGATCTTGTAGAAGTGGCTGTAGTCCCGCTCCGGGCTGCTGGGGCTCTGCTTCTGGTACCAGTCCCGGATCTTCACCTCCAGGTCGGCGTTGGCCTCCTCCAGGGCGCGCACCTTGTCCAGGTAGGAGGCCAGCCGGTCGTTGAGGTTCTGCATGGTGAGCTTCTCGTTGCCGGAGAGGAGGCCGCCGTCGCCGCCACCAAAGTCACCAAAGCCAGCGCCAAAACCCCCACCAAAGCCACCTCCAAGGCCACCTCCGAAGCCTCCGCCCAAACCACTACCAGCCCCTGCACCGAAGCC